CAGCTGGCGGAAAGGTTCCCGTGCGGCTGCATCACGAGCCCGTTGCTGACTGCCGGCGCGCGAACTCATTTGCTAATCCAATAGCGCGCATTGTGCACTTGACAGTATTCACGAGAGATAATAAAACATACTTCGTACAAAGGGATTTCATAATTGGATAATTGATATCGTTTCCTAAGGTAAGGTAATATTGTGTTCAGGGTTACCTTAGCCCTTTACCTATTGTTTCATTAACTTTACTGAAGTTCCTATGCAATTGTAAACTAAGTACTGGTAGGAAACGTAGAATCGGGTTGTCACTATCGCAATCTTTCACTAATCTGATCTGAATGAAATCAAACTACAATTTTCATTCGGACATTGACTAGTCATAAAGTTAAGACCGGTGCATTTATTTTCGTTAGGTCCAGAAGTATTGAACGTTCTGTATATCCGCACGAAATTCGGGACGGGGGCGGCTGGTTTCGCATATTTTTTGAAGGTCCATAAATCGTATTGGTTAGTAAACGATAGAGATTATATGAGACAAGATACATATACAAGGAGGCTTAAAGCACTGTTTAAACGCCATCGTGTTGTGATGCTACATATAGCACTACAAATTTTAGTGCGATTTTTAACGCATCACTAAAGTATTGGCCGATGACATAATTAGATGTATACTATAATTATTTTAGAAAACTTACCTTCAATGGGCGAGTTATGGTGACAGTCTCGATCATCGTAGTAGACGCCATCGTGTCAGACGTTCCCATTCCTAAAACACAACAATAATCTTATCATACATGGGTAGTGCAGAATTAATAAATAAAGGCTGCTCCATAGCTGTCTGAGCTAATAGTATAAACTTTAGATGGATGGATGTTTGAAAGTTTCTAAACTAAACTGCTTAATGGATTTTGATAAAATTGGCATGGCTGTAGAGGATACTTTAGAAGAACACATAGGCTACTTTTTTTTTAAATTTTAAGCGGACAGAGTCGGGGTCAAAAGCTAAGCTCTTTATAAATTGTTTTCACCTTGTAATACTCTAAATGCTATTTTAATAACAAAAATTGCACATCACAAGACAATAATTTGTCAACTAAGACGAAGTACATTTGAAATAAAAATCATTCTCTGCACATAAACTTAAATAGTGTGTTCTAAACCTAATTCGGAAGTATGATATCATCTTTCAAGGACAAGGTAGGATTTGTCATGATCATGTTACACCACAACAGTTATTTAGCATAGAGTTGGCTAATAAAATTACAACTTTAACATGTTGTTCTTAAGGTGCATTTTAATAATAATGTTTATACAGTAGTAGTATTTAACAAGGTTACAAATTAAAAAGTTGTAGTGAATCTTTGCAGGTTTTAATACAGTTTTAATACCCTCAATGACCGTTTTTTCAATATGCGATAGTGAGTGGAAGGTGATCTTTATCTTCATATAAGTGTGATGTGATACAATTTACAAGGACTGAATTTCATTATAATATACATTTGTGACTATCTGCGATAACTTGTAATTGGCCTTCATTTTTGTTTCCTTTATTATTATTTTTTTAAGCTAGCTGTAAGTTATCCGTAAATAAATAAAATAAAATAAAATAAAACAGATAAAATAAATATGGAGCTGGCTTTTTCATTGAAACAGTAACATGCATGTTTGTCACAGCCAACAAATTTCTTAATTCCAATAATCTCTTTATACAGTAATCTTTCAGACAAAAAGATGTCTTAAGTACACCATAGGAAGAAACAAAACAAATGTACTAATATTATAAAGAGGAATGATTTTCATTTTTGGATTTTTCTACATATCGAAATAACTTGGCCGATTTCAAAAATGATACCACTATATAGCTATATTATCACCGAGTAATAGGCTTTTTTTGAATGAAAATTCTGCACTGCCAAAGTCATGAGCAACAGCTAGTATCATATTTCAGAAAAATTTAAACCTAGATTGCAAAACAACAGTAAAAAAATTGTACACCTTTTAAAAATAATGATTAATATTGTCTTGCATCAGTAGACTTATACATTCAAAGATATCCTTTCTAAGAGTCTTTTTCTATGTGACTGTCAAAGAAATTACTGGGCATACAAAATGTATTCTTACTTATTACTCAGGGGGAAAAAATATATCATAATGTTCACTATCTTATCTTAAATATAGCATTACATCATAGGTATCCACTTTCAAAGGTAGACAAGGATTTTCAATGGTTTAAAATTAATTAAAAATGGTAATAGAAAATAGTCTTGTTGGGTTCAGCCATTGAAGTTCATTCAAGTCACCATCCAAGAACAATAATGTTCCATAATAAAGAAAGGAATTATATATGTAACACAAAGGACATAGTAGTTTCATTTATTAAGGCTTTTATTACATATGTTAAACTATCATTAACTAATAAAAAAATGCGATTTACCTTTTTTGAAAAGAGTAAATCTTGTCAACTGAGTAATACAAGCATAATAATCTCTTCAGATATCATTAACATTAATGTTTTCAACAAATATTCTTGGAATGATTGACTCCCAGACAAAGGATATACAATTACTATGTTTTACTTTTTAACATTACATTACAAGAATGAGTCTTGTGATGTTTTTTGAGATCAAAGATAGCTACAGGAAAACAACAATTATAGTTACAATAGCAACAATAAATCATAATTCTGAACAATACATGAATACTCACATGTAAACAACACTCTTAAGTTATTGATTTTGAATCTAAATTAATATTATTCTTGTACTTCAGCACAACCGAATAAACTTTTAACACTATCGATACGATGGATACACTTGCACAAACCGATTCGATGAATATTTAATTCACAAATTCTAATTTTTTAACACAATCAACATCCATCATCGAAGCATAAAAATTGACAAGTACGAGCCGAATGAATGATATGAATCGAAGAATGTCGTTTAAGATAACCGATTTATGGAGTTAATCTCTATGGCCGATGCCAGACAGTGCTGCAGATAAGTAAACTGAAGAAAATGTCTTGCAGGCGTCATTTAGAATACAACGTTAATAAGTTTTGAAATTATTTTTTGAAAGGCAATGTTTTTTTATTTTCAGTGCCAAATATGTGTTTGAAATGCCTAATCTGTACAATACATTTTGTTTGTCAAATGCTTGTCAAATCAAATGTCAAGGTTTGTCAGTTTGTCACGTCTTTCAAAATCAAATGTCTTTCGGCGTTTCATTTTCGGCGGCGGCGCGGTAGCTTTTACAAACTTTGGTGTTTGCAAGGAATGTTTGTTTTTCATGTGAACTTACTAATGCAAATGATAGCAGCATTTCAATAGAAAAAGTATGGCTGGTTTAAAATCACTTGCTGTCAGGGGTATAAGAAGTTTTGGGCCAGAAGACAATGACGAACAACGTATATCATTTGAAAGGCCCTTAACTTTAATTTTAGGCCAGAATGGTTGTGGAAAAACGACTGTTATAGAATGTGTACGCTATGCTCTTACTGGACAAATGCCCCCAGGTAGTCGTAACGATTGTTTTGTCCACGATGCAAAAGTTAACAGATCAACAGAAGTTTTAGGACAAGTCAAATTAAAGGTAAGAAAAAGTTTTCTACATTAACCCTTTCATTACTATCATATTATGCTTAAGTTAACTTTTGTCTCATATACATTTACCATCTATATTGTGTGTAATGCATAATTTCCAAAACAATCCAAACTAATTCAAAGTAAAGAAAAAGTTTCATATTTTTGCTTAATTAGATAGAAGACAGATTAAAGCTATACACTTGGTGGTAAGTGGTCACAATTGTATTTAATTTCAACAAAATTAATCATCATATATTCTGTAACAAAAATAATTTAAGCTCCGAAAATGTTATACTGAAACTTTTATTCTATTAACAGTTTTAATCTTATGCAATAGATTGTGAATGCAAAAGATGAACAACTCGAGATAGCAAGATCTATGAAAGTAACAGCGCTACAAAAGAAGAAAAGTAAATTCCAAACATTAGATTCATTTCTGTCAGTAATTGACAATAAAGGCAAAACTAAAGATATTTCGTCAAGATGTGCTGATTTAGATTCCATGATGTACGAACAATTGGGTAATTATTTATTATATTTTATTATGCAGTTGTAACATTTAATAAGGAAGCATAAACTTTATATCAAGTGACCCCAAAGGTGACAAACTAAAAATTAACTTGTAAATGTTGGCATTGCTTATATTTTCCATTAAGAAGTTGTGAAGCCACATGATCTTTTTCTAATTGGAATGGGTAAGGTATGTCTACCTTACCCATTCCAATACTTTGTTGTACAGTTGGGGAAACTGGCAATTTCCACCTTAAAAGCTACAATTGTTTGAACATTTAGAAAAGAGATCATCATCATCATCACCAGCCCACTATATGTCCCGACCGAGGGGCCCGGAGCCTACCCTAAAGTAAAGGGTAGCTAGGCCATAGTCAACAACGCTGGCCCAGTGCCGGTGTTGGTTGAATTAACACATATCTTTGAATTTCTTCGCCAATATGTGCAGGTTGCATCACAATTTTTCCTTCACCATAAGAACGTCGGGTAAATTATGTACATATGAAAATCGAAAATCACATTGGTACATGGGGGCGGGATTCGAACCCAAGACCTGTAGATTACAAGTCAAGTGCTTAAACTACTGATCCATTGATGATCAGAAAAGATGCGGAAAACCAATACAACAGAGCTTGTAAATATATTTGTTTGAAAAAAAGTCTTAGTAATAAAAGGCTAGTTTCTTTATATTATTATCCTTTGCAATTGCACCAGTCACTGCAATTTAATTAGTTATTTCTAGAATGTGGCGGAGTAATGAACAAGAACATTTTTCCTAAAGTAGAACACCATGGATTTCCACAACTATACATACCAAAAAATCCAGAACCCAAAAACTTGATTATAATTTGATATAAATATATTAGTCTAGATTAGCATTGTTTATGAACAAAATGGTCTTATTTACTTGTAAATTGCAGATATCACTTGGCTATAGTTAAGATAGCACAAAAATTTATATCATACCACATTAAATGCTGTACTCTTCACTTAATACAACCTTCACTATAGTTTTAGAATAAATGCTTGAGCCCTTGTATTTATTTTAAACTCTATCAAATGTAAAAATAAAATATTCATTCTTAAATAAAGAATATTATCTTAATAGATGAAAACAATTGAAATTTAAATATTCAACAAAATTCAACTGGAATAACAAACAGTTTATATTTTTCGTTTTTGACTGCAACTTGGCTTCCATTGTGTTGTTCTGGATACTTTCTAATATCTATCCATTAAACACTCAAATTTATAATATTGATGTGATTATATTGTTTTGTTTTTGAGAAAGTTATATGGCATTTGGATTATTCGCAACCGCCGCCCCGCTCTGTCTCCACATGGGAACAGATGAGAATAAAAAGTTTCATCTGCCTCACCTTTTGCGACAAGGGGATGGTTGGAATTTTTTTATTTTACTTCATAACTGTTTCATCTGTTAACTTATTGGTGATAGTGGGACTAAAAGGTGGGATGAATGAAACTTTTTATTCTCATGTGGGAACAGAGTGGTGTGACGGTTGGGAATAATCCTGGCATTTGGCTACACTCTCAGATTTTGGTCACTAAACAATAAGTCAAAACAATAACAATAAATTGCAAAATAAAGTATTATCTAGTATGGTATTTAGCAGTTTCCACTGTATATTACAGGAGTATCAAAAGCAATAATGAATTCAGTTATATTCTGTCACCAAGAAGATTCAAGCTGGCCGCTTGATGAAGGGAAAAAAGTAAAGGAACGCTTTGATGAAATATTTGAAGCAGATAAATACAGTGAATGTTTTGATAAATTAAGAAAAATAAGGAAAGAGTATGAAACTGAAATAAAAGTATTAGGTAAATTTACTAATAACTATTTTTTTTACTCGAAAATTGCCATCTTAGACCTTTTTTTCTTTTTCAGAACAGAAAGTGGCAAATTTAACAGATAAAAAAGAAAATTTAGATAAGAAAAAATTAGATGTCGTAAATACTGAATCGAAAATTGGTGAAACTGAAATTAGGTTGGCTGAACTTGAACAAGAAGTAAAACCACTTGCTGAAAAAATTAAAGCGATCGAAACATTGCAGAGGAATTTAGTAACAATAGAAACGAAAAGAGAAAAAATCAAAACAAAGTAAGAGACTGACATTGTCTTTTTCTAAATAATAAAAATAACTGTGAAAAAAATTAATATTATAATAATTTTTAGGTTGGAACATGCTACAAATCAAGAACAAGAACTAAAAAGTGCCATTACCAGTTTGTTTGAAGGATCACAAGCAGAGCTAGAGAAAAATATATGTAAGATAATCACTAAAATATTGGTTATTTAAAATAATAAAATAGATTCTTCTTGATATTTACAGTGCTTAATAATACCAGATAATTCTGGGGCACTAAAAGGAACTGCTTTATTTAATTTACTTTAATGATTTTTATTTTCAGCCAATTACGCTACAATCGCCAAAACTAAAAAAGAAGATTTAGATAATTCGTACAAGCAAAATAACAAATTCAATATAGAAGAAGAAAAAATTGCTAACGAAAAGACTTCAAATGAAATGAAATTTAAAGAATTGATACTGTTGGAAAGTCAGAATCAAGATAAAATTGATAAGAAAAATAATATGATAGAAAACACTGCAAAACTGGCTGGTAAATACAAAAATATACTTTGTCCAAACATATTTGAAAAACATTTATAATAGAGAAATATTGATATTTTAACAACAGTTTAGAGAAAAAAAAAAACAAAAAGATGTTATCTTTTCTTGTAATTTGACTGGTTTTATTATAAATTGACAAAATTCACAGTTTGTTAGTAACATGTCAACACTTTAGTTTGATTTTCTTATTTAAATGACTGCTTAATTTAGTCTTTATGTTCTAGAAATTGAGATAGAGAAAGTAGAAAGCAATGAAGATGCAGAGAAAGCGGGAGAAGCTATAAAGGACAAAATAAAAAGTCTAAAAATGGAACTTAGTAAGAAAAAAAAAGAAGCCGATACTGAAGAAAATAATCTACAGGCGGATGTAGATACTTGTCGTGACGCTTTGGTATGTAATTATATTGTATTTAGCATAACATTTTTTTTTAAAACCTATTCTTAAGATGCAATAAACATACTTGGTAAAAAAATTACTCCCATTAAAATATTGTAGAATCTCATCAATCACAGTATATTTTTAATTTTTTTTTTTAATTGAAATCCCTACACCTACGGCACACTTTTGCAATAATTTAAATAAATAATTTGGAAAAAACCATATGTAAGATGGGATGTATGGAAGAGCAGCACATACTGTGTAGACCCTCCGTAAGGGATAAGGGCCAGTGGATGATGATGAATTTGGATAAAACCGCCATGCGGGTAGGGAACGAAAACTACAATTCTGCCAAAAGCAGCAAAGAAGCAAGGTTGCATTGGTTACTCACAAACAATTCTCAGTCAATGTCAAGGGTTGGGCATTTGCAATTGAAAGTTTTACGAAATGTAAACAATAAAGTAAAGTTTTTACTATGTGGAGCGCATGAAGCTGCACGGGAACAGCTAGAATTTAATAATGTATGCTTATCCTGAATTTCAGTCTCGCCACAAACAAAAAATAAGCAACAAAGAATCTGAAATACAAAATATGAAAAAAGACATCACCAAAGTGGAAAAAAGTATCACCGACACAAACAAGTCAAAAGTGCGATTAGAACTTCTGGAAAAGAAAATGACCACAGCTGAAGAGTAAGTTGAATCCATAAAATAGAATAAAGATACAAAGGGCCTGTCCCACAATTCTTATAAATTGCCAGATAACAATCCAATATCTGAAATATGTGATGGAAGTATCAGATTTTGTTCCCTTATCTGACAGTGACGTCAACTTTTAAGATACCTAAGCTTCTATCAGTCAGTGGTGGGACAGGCCTTAAGACAATTAAAAAAAATTATGTCTAATATTGTTAGGGTAATTCTAATCAGGTTTTTATTAAACTGGTGGAGAACAACAAATCAGTAAATTGAATGTTTTATCATAAGCTCAATTAAAATTGTTTCAGAGATTATCAGGCAGTTTCAAATGAGATGGATCTAGAGGAATGTCAGAAGTCAATCAATGAAGATGTAGCTACGATGGAGAAGAGTGAACAGGAACTTGAAGAATTAAATGAAAAGGTAATGCTTTGTTAGATCCTTTAAACTAAGTATATCAAATATCTCAAAAAGATTATAAATGTAGTTTTTATCTTACTAATATTATAAATGCGAAAGTTTATATGGATGGATGTTTGTTAGAGTTTGTAGCCTAAACAGCTGAACAGATTTTGATGCAATTTGGCATAAACGTTGAGGATAGTCTGGAAGGACACATAGTGTTCTCACTTTTGTTTCTTAATTCCACGCAGACAGAGTCGCATGTGGAAGCTAGTTTGTAATAAGTTTTATTTTGTTGTCGATCGATTGTGTAAATCGTCAATTTCTATTCCAACCAGGTTAAGAACTGTCAACTTTGTATAACAAATATAGAGGTTCAAAGTGTTTCGTCAGTTTACAATACGACTAGTGATAGTGAATCTTCTGTTATTTGTTTAATTTAAATTTTCAGATCAATCAGTTACAAAAGCAAAGCGCTAAGTTAAAAGAGCGCGATATGCTAGAAGATTCTTTAAAACAGAAAGAGAAGCAGATGAATGTACTAAAGAACAAACACCGCAGTGCACTCAGTGAGCTGCTCGGAGCAATGCCCGACAAGGGATATGCAATGGCCATTAACAAATTGGAATGCGAATTGAGAGCTGAAGTTGATTCTGTTAAAAAGAAATTAGTAGAAAAACATACAAGTGTAAGATAATTTTACTACTTAAGTTCTTTTTAATTTTACTAATATTACAACATGAAAATTTAAATGGATGTTTGTTAGAAGGTGTTTGCAACAGGTCAATGGATATCGATGAAATTCATCCATTATGTGCCTGCGGCCATCTTGGTACAATGTAGTCCAAATTAATCTGTCAACATCAAATGCAATAAAACCGTTTAGATTTCAAATGTAAATCCACTACATTTGAAATCTAATTCCATACCAATGAAAGTTTTGCTTCAAAATTTACGTAGTAAAATATTATAGTTCCCGATAGTCTAGTATAGCCTAACTAAAAATAAATTAGCCTGGAGGCGCTTAATCGCCTTTATTAGACCACTTTCTAATGTGTACGCTTAGTACCATATTTTTTCGATATGATAGTGGTTTTTATATTCCTGGTTATAATTAATTGAATGTTTTCAGCTAACAAGTTTAGAAACGGAGAGGAAACATGTGCGCGAGTTGGTGACGGAGCGCCGCAATGAGCTGACCGCGGCCGAGGATCAGATGTTCAAGGCGTGCGGCACACAGACGTATGAAGCAACACTCTCCAAATTAAATAACACTGTTGAAAAATTACAGGTAATCTATACTAATGTTAAAAAGAGAAAATTTGAATTTTTGTATGTATTTGATTCAGGTAAACACTACTAGACTGATTTTCAAAATTCTTTCAGAATTAGAAAGGTAATTTATCTGTAAGTAACATAACCTATATTTTAAATTTCACACGGACGAAGTCGCGAGCAACTGTTATTACTTTCATATATCAACTATATTCTCTACTGAAATGTGACAATTCGAACAAAACTATCTTCAGTAAAAAAAATGTTTTGTTTCTTTTGTACCAAGCAATCATATAAAAAGTTTAAACAAATGTATAAAAACAATGAGAAATTTCTTGTCAAATCGTAATATTCCTTCCATATTTTACGATTTAACAAAAGAAACTTCCTATTTATTTCTTCCATATAGAGCTATTAATCTATTAACAATTTGTATTAAGGAATAAGGACTAAGCCATATATATTTTAAAAGTAATATACTTACAATAAAGCATTTTTTATTATTTAACTTCAGGAAGAACAAAATATGTTGCAATCATCAATGTTTATATTTACAAAATATAAAAATCAACTAAAAGACAACAATTGTTGTCCGCTGTGCAACCGAGGTTTTGATACAGATTCAGAGGTGAGACTGTCGTTGATTTTTTGACGCTAAGTTATTTTTTTACCATGAAAAGCATGCCTTATTTTCATGTTTCTGAGTTAACTGTGAAAGCGAGTAAGTGAATAAACGAAAGAAAGACGCAACAAACATAAGCGTTGTTTGTAATGAACGAAAAATGAACTTTACACATAAGTAAATGCTTATAAAAAAAATAAAACTATTTTATCAACCATGCAAAACATGGCCTAAACACATGTAATAAAACATCGTTTTAAAGTGGAAAGGCATAGTAATAATAACAAGCAATGCATTAAAATTAACAAATTTTTTTTAATAATACCATACTTCATACTAATGTTATAAATGCAAAAGTTTAGATGGATAGATGTTTTGGCCTAAAGGCTTAATCACTTTTTTATTTCTACACGGATGAAGTCGCAGGCATAAGCTAGTAGTTTATAGAATTATTATTACAGGCGGCAGATTTAATTTCTCAATTGACAACACAAGTAATGAACGTGCCGGCCAAACAAGAGAAAGTATCGGAAGAATTACAGAGAACATCAGCTAAGAGGGACGATCTGCTCAGTATGAAGTCTTTGAATGAAAAAATAAAAACATTAAAAGAAAAAGATGTACCGCAACTTGAGACACGTTTGAAAGACGTGGATACGGTAAGATATTTGAAAAATCTACATTTAAATGTGACAGTTTACTTTACTAGTTTTCTTTGATAAAAAAAAAAGTTTTTGCGCGACATCTAAGGGATGAAAGATGTTAAATGGTTTAAAATCATCTATTAAAATAGTCTATCATTAAAATATATAACCAAGATTCATAATCATCACCAAGTTAGCGGTGACTAGGCCCACATATCTTTGAATCGAATCTTGAAAAAATCGAAAATCACATTGGTACATGGCGGGATTCGAACCCAAGGCCTGCATCTGAGATTAATACAATTAAAATATCAATCTTTATTCATAGCAAATAGCAAAATTAACGGAAGAATCAGAAGAACTATCAATGACACTGATGGAGCCGGAACAGAAGCTGCAAAACGCCAGACAGATACAGAGCGACATGCCGCTACTGGACAGATACACTAACGAGGTCGTCACCGCCAATAAAGATGTAAGTTACCTAGCTAAATCTTACTAATAAAATTGCGGAAGTTTAGATGGATGGATATTTGTTAGAGTTTACCGTAAACTGCTAAACGGATCTCAACGAAGGCATAGATGTAGAGCATAGTCTGGAAGAACACATAGGCTACTCGCTTTTGTTTTTTTTAATTCCAAGCGGACGAATTCTCGGGCGAAAGCTAGTTAAAAATAAAATTGTTCCCTTTATTTAGTCCTCTCCCTATAATTAATTACTTTCACAGGCCAACTAGCGCATCCACTACTATATGTAATGCTTATCTAGATGCTTAGTGATAAAAGGGTGTACTATAATTGGATAGCGGGTATAATTAACAGAACATCAACTTCTTAATCGCTTTTATTATATATACGAAAGTTTAGATGAATGGATGTTTGTTAATACATGCTTTCAAAACAGCTCATCGGAGCTCACTAAAATTTGACACAAAAGTAGAACATAGTCTGAAAGAACACAGGCTTATTAAGTTTTTTTTTAATACCTCGCGGACATATCCGCAAGCAACAGCTAGTGATGTATATTAATATTTAACAGCTAGAAGCGATCAAAGCTGAGTGCTCCGGTATAGTGGTTGATATGAACTTAGATGAAGCGACAACAAAGAGTAATGGACTAAGACAACAGATCACATCTTTGAGGTCTCAAATCAAACAATCCCAAACAAAACTGAACCAGCACACTAAGAAGTTGCAGACAATGGGAGAAAAGAAAAACAAACTTAAAGAGGAACTACTCAATGTACAGAAAAAGGTAAGATTCTACTAATATATATAAATCTAACAGTGGTAGTGCCCGCTTTAACATCTTAGCACTGCAGGGCCGGCACGCCCCCAGTAATACCACGACCACACAGAAGACAGGCGTGAAATGGAAGCAATTCCGTGTTTCGTCTGATGAGTGTGGTGCCGGAGGCCTAATTTAAGTCCCTTTCTCTTTACCACCCTTTTCTTATAAGGAGAGGATGGGAAGGGGAAGTGGATTTGACGGTGGAGGAGATGCATAGGAAGGGCCAATATCCTCTTTATGTGCGTCTCCTCCTCCGTCGGATAAGGGTATGCAACGCATCTGCGATCGCGGATGTCTATGGGCAGCGGTCGCTTCGCCATTTTGGCGGATTCAGCTGGCCGCTTGCTCGTTTGCCACCTTATATTATAAAAAAATAATAATAATAACCGAAATTGGGTATAATATATTGTATTGGGTATACTCCTGACCTGGACCTCTTTCATTGCTCTCAAACCTGAGCTCACATCGGTCTTTGTATTCGTTCTCACGTTCTAGACAACAAAAGTAAAAATTGGTAATTATACAATGTGCACAACTGCGAAATATATTTACACATATCAACCATGAAAACATTAGTTTAACTCAAATGTACAACACCTCATTTATGTTCTTTCAATAAGTGAGCAGCAAGCTCCAACATCAATCTCCGATACATTTGTTGTTCATTAACACAAATAGACAATACCAATTAACAAGCAAAATATACATTTGTAATCCCAATATTGTTCTTTAATGTTATAAAGAGGAAAACTTTGTATCTTTGTAACTAAAACCACTAGACCGATTTTAAAAATTCTTTCACCATCAGAAAGGTAATTTATCTGTGAGTAACATAGGCTATATTTTATTATTACTAATGTTTAGAACTATTAATAAACAGCGTATTTCTGGACGCCAGCGGCAAAAAATTACTAAACTTTAACTTTTCTCGGCTTACGCTGCCTAAACCGTTAGAGGTATATAAAAATGAAATATGAAAGAATTGTAGATCTCAAAAAGTTCTATAGAAAAGTCCGCGATAGCATCTTTAACGGTTCTCTTACAATGACCACTTTTTTGTTTACAAAATGAATTAAAAACAACATGCTATTTGCAGCGTTCTTTTATTGGTTTCAATATTTATCCTTATCCAAATTAATGCGTTTGTTATCAGGAGAATTTAATGTAGAATAAAATTGTTCTTTACAGTATTTAAATTGGACTAATAGTTTAGAAGATATCTCAAACACAAACAATAAAAGTAACCGAAAAATCAGCTTACAAGCTATCGGGCTTAGAAATTTGGAATCTTGCATCGGTAGATTTCTGTTATTACGTAGATTACTAATAAGTTAATACTTTTGGTAATAGGTTGCAAAAAAAGGGCGAACGTATTACGGTTATATTCGTTATTTCACGCGGGCGAAGTCGGAGCAACAGCTAGTATAAGAATAAAGTAAATCTCCTATACAACTTGCGATAGATTTATGTATCATAAATAATTAGTCACTGTTCTTTAACCACTCGCTTAAAACAAATTTTGATAGTACCTTAGGTCATTTAGTTGTTGATAAATAGTATAGATTAACAAATAACTTTTAAGAATATAGAATAAATCAAATATAATTAAAAAGCGAACACTGTATATACTTTTGTAAGAATTTTTTTTTTATTTATTTTTTCCTTGTCGTAAACACTATTGATATTTATTTTAAAGTTGTAAACTAAAACTTAAACAAATTATTTACAGGTCCAAGAGTTAGTGAATTTACAAGAAAATCTGAAACAATTGGAATCTAACAGAGAGAAAGCGTTGGTTGAATTAAAGGAACTGCAAGACGCAACTACGCCTTTGGAAGTTGATTTGAAAGAAAAGGAAAAAATTAAAAGTGAATGTGTTAAGAAAAATAGGTAAGTACATTAAGTGATATTAGTGAGGATTTCCACTGCACCAAAACACATGGATTTTCTCTTTCTGTACGTAAATTAGTCCTTTCTAAGTTGTAGGCTATGCTCTTGCTGATCTCTTTGGCAGCCGTCGCTTCTTTAAAAAAAACTATATAAAACATGATTAAAATAATTTTATTTTTCTTTACCAATAGGGCTGCAATCGACGTCAAAAATGATTTTATAATTAAAATAAAAAATGCATTCGATAAAGTCGAATCTATTGAAGTAGAGATCAATGAACACAAAGAGAGGAATGTTCAAGCAGAAATGGATAAAATAAAAGAAGCCAATGAGCGGCTGATGGAGAAACAGAAACAGATAATGGTCGACAGAACTACACTTACTAAGAAAATCGATAGCTTGAAAGACGAACTGGCCAAACAAGATGTAAGATTTTTATTAATTTAATTATATGAACTACGTTTATACATCATACTAATATTATATATGCGAAAGTTTAGCTGGATGGATGTTTGTTAGAATTTGTAGCGTAAACGATCTGGATAAAATTTGGCATAGATGTAGAACATATTCTGGGAGACACATAGATTACGTCCTTTTGTTTCCTTTAATTGCACGCCGACGGAGCCGTGGTGAAAAGCTAGTTTCAAATAAAATTATGTGTTTCCAAGTATTCTAAATGTGTTGTGTGTGATATTACTTAAATATAAAAACCATATTAAAAGAATAATAGTCAATCTTACTCAGGATCCCTTTAATCGTAGTCTCGCAATTCTATATTGCGGAGATTTGACTGTTTTTAGTGCCTTTATTTTCATATCAACAGCGCTAATACAATGTTATAAATTATATATAATATATAATATATTTCAGATATATAAACGCAACTTGGAAGATAACCTCAAACTACGTAAAGCTCAATCAGAAATCACTAATAGTGAGACTGAACTGGCTGCACTCAACGAGAAGCTGAGCGGAGTCAACATGGACATGATTGCAGAGAAGGAACCGTTGATGGCAAAACATGCCGACTTGTTCAAAGAGAAACTGCAAACTGAAGGTCTGATGGGTGGATACAAAGTAAGGTTTAGTAGTAATAATTTACCAACAAAAACCCTAAGCACATCACTCGTGTAAAATATAAAAAGTATTTATTACCTTATGTATAAAAATCCATTAGCATAATCATACTATCATACTAATATTGTAAATGTGAAAGTTTAGATGGATGGATGTTTGGTAGAGTTTGTAGCCTAAACGGCTAAACGGATTTTGATGAAATTTGATATAGATGTACAGGATAGTCTGGAAAAACACAATTAGGCTATTTACTTTTGTTTTGTTTTTATGTGTGAATCTTTATCCAAATAATTATGTTTTATTCCACGCGGTCGGACTCGCGGGCGAAAGCTAGTTATCCATATTGCAGTTAATAAATTTAATTTGACTTTCCTTTTCATTTGTGTGTTGAAAACTTCACCGATATCTATAAATGGATAGTAATTTTTCCCAGAGTTATCATTAACATAAAACATTTTAACATTGGTAGAGCCCACTTTAAGATTTTTATACTAATGTGCCTGCTGTGGAAATCAAATAGATACAATATACCATGTTTTGTTATCTGTCCATTTATATAGATTAGTTGAAAAAATCTTACAAGGTTTAAAATTTTTGATATTTTCAGGAAAGATTGAAACAATGTAAGCTTGAACTGAAGAAAGCTGTGAATGAGGGTATAGAGAAACAATACAGGGAAAAATATTATGATCTTCATGTTATTAAAGCTCTAGAGAAAGATATTAAGGATTATTCAGTTGCCTTAGAAAAGTGCCTTATGGAGTTTCATAAAGAGAAAATGGAGAATATTAATTTAATTATAAGGTAAGTTATGTTTCCAGAATATTCTCATAAGTTTGACTTATTGTATACAGGGTGTATTGATTTTTATTTATATTTTTACAGAGAAATGTGGAGGAAAATTTATAGGGGGAATGATATTGATTATATTGAAATTAAAACGGAAGGAAGCGCTACTGCTAATGCTGATCGTAGGAAATACGATTACAGGTATGCATTTGAAATTATATGAGAAAGAATATATTGTTCTCTTACAGATAGAAAATAAGGTAATAGAAAAAAATGACTTCATAATAATTGATGTTCTAATTAAAAAAAAATTGCAATTAATATTTGTTAAGATGTGAACTGTTTTAGCGATATTTGATAGTTCAGGGTCAGTTATCATAAATTATTATTTTAATAATGCATCAATAGTTTTGGGACACATTAATCTTATGTAGCTGAGTTAAATGTTATTCAATAGCAAATTCATTGCCAATTGTTATTGAAAGTTTTACAGGATAAACAAGGAAATTAAGTTTTTATAATGCGGTTGGAGCCGAACGGGAATAGCTTATATTTTTAAATTGTATTTTAGAGTGGTGCAGTGTAAGAACGGTGTGGAAATCGACATGCGTGGCCGCTGCAGCGCGGGACAGAAAGTGTTGGCCTGCCTCATCATACGTTTGGCGCTGGCTGAAACCTTCAGCACAAGGTATTTATAATTTAACTTATGTTTTAAAGACACTAATCCTTCTAATGTGACTCAAAGAATATCTACATAGATTTATAAATTTTTAACCCCTTAAACCATTATTGTAATGCAATTTTTATTATTATAACGATAGAGTTGCGAATTTTCTTTTATTCCAGGTTCGGTATCTTAGCATTAGATGAGCCAACAACAAATTTAGATCAAGAGAATGTTAAAAGTCTGTGCGAGGCTCTCGGGGAAATCGTTTTAGAAAGAATGACGCAAAAGAATTTCATGTTCATCATCATCACCCACGATAGAGAATTCATCGAGTCCTTGGGCAGTATTGACAAGGTCACGCATTTCTACGAAGTTTCCAGAAACGAAGAAGGAAAATCCAGAATCAAAAAGATTAGATTTACTTAATGCATTTTTCAAATCCTCCAGTCATTCCTATTTCGAATGTCAATTGCTGTTAAAAAGGCTGTGCCTTACGAAATTTATAAAAGTTAAGCATTACATTTTTATATATTAATAAATATAACCTTTTTATATGTTTTTATTAGTTTATATTATTACACCCTTAATAGTGTTTGAGTAAAAATCTTTTATATTTTTGAGCTATAATTTTATGTTTAAATATATTTTACAACAAATTATAAGTAACTATTTTATAAATAACGAAGCCATACAATTTCTTACATATTAATAGGAAAAGTTTTCCTAAAATCTATAGTAAGTATATACAATAGAAGAGTGTTACTAATGTTTTCTAACTTGCTCATACAAAAATGTTAACCAGAAAATAATCCCGTAATACTGTTCAACGGTTTGCATATTTCCATCTGATCAATTTGTAACAATTTGCTCTCTTGCAAAACAGTCAAAGTCACTCCTAGAAGTTCACAAATTTGCGTCGGTGGAAATGATTGAGACAAACACTTAGTAATATAAGGAACCAAGTCTTCAGTAAAGCAAATACAAAACGACACGAAATTCTGCCTTTCAACTTCTGTAAATGCTTGTTGCTCTCTGTTATAAAAAGTTAGTAAGATTTGCACCGATTTTCCTAATGATTTTCTATATTCAATATAGACATCTTTCACAATATTCAAAGGTGCTGTTACTCGGAAAGAATTTAGAATGGATAGCAATCCATTACAATACTCCGCTAATGGATAGTAATCTAATAAATTTTCAGGTGGTCCTGATATCATATTTTCATTCACCGGTCTTGGTAAATTCTTTATCATTGGTACTTTATAAGTTCTCATTTGATTCTCAAATTGATTATCCACTTTATCAAGGTTATAGTGAAACTGAGACATGATATTGTTTCTAAATAATGGTGTAAGCACACAGCGTAAATCTGCACCCACTCTGCCAAACGACAAACAGAGGTACATACATTGATTCAAAAGGGACTCAAAACTCGATTCATCTTCTTTCTTCAAATCTCGGTTCAGCATTTCAGTTAATTTTTCAACCTAAAACAAAGGATTATTCAATTTTACTGACACTATACAATTTGGAGAACAAATCATTAATGATAATTTATTTTACCTTTTGTTTTAACCAACATGACAAAGCACTTGTTCCACTTAGTTCGTAGTCGCGCAATTTAGAATCCTGTGCATCTGATAAGAATATTGATTTATGCTGAGTTAACACATTAAACAGATGTATTCTGTGTAACTCAACAATTTTTCTTAACAATCTATCCGATGCTATAACAGAATAACAAAAAAATATTTAGTTCTGAAAATATTATATGGAAATGTAATTTGACTGAAATCTAGCACTATGTTCATTAGAAACAATTTTAGAACATACTAATACTTACATTCACTATTTTTAGCATCTTCTAAAGCTTTTTCAAACCAAGCATTTCTTGCTTTCAAAAAGTGCAAATGTAATCCATCAGTCATTATTGTATTGCTTGGTATTTTACTTCCCAAAGATAGTTTGCTTTGGTCTTCTTCTGTCGATTTAAACACTGTATTAGCTCTTCTTAAGTAACCTAAGATCTAGAAAATTAGAATAATTTTCATTAAGAAAACTTAAGTCTTCCAAACTTCAAAGTTCTAATCTAACTTAACTTACTTGTAAACACTGTGGTAATGGTAAATCGTAATGTAACTGATTGTACAGTTGATATAAAGTTTCATACCAGAGTGTCATAATTTCTGATGATGTATTCTGAAAATAAGCAACAACTATGATTATATAATATGACTTTATAACTATACTAATATTGTGAAGGGAAAAGATTTGTATTTATGTATTGTAATAACTCAAAAACTACTGGACCAATTTAAAAAATTCTTTTACCATTGAAAAGGAAATTTATCAGATAGTAACCGGCCTAATTTTTTAATTTTATATGGTTAAATTGCCAAGCAACAGCTAATAACTATATATTTGTTAATTACAAAGTGTAAAAGATAGTATACCTGAACAATTGGTATCTCAGAGTATCTTTTTGATAGGTTACGAACAAAAGTGAAAATATCCAAAGCACTCTCGTAATCTTCTGCATTGAGTGCTTCACGCATCAACGAAGGCAGTTCTAGTAATTCCAATAATTTATCACTTTGATGACGAATACTGCTATATCGCCTAAAAGTTATGTTATTTCAAACTTTATCTCTCAACATACAATAAGTAATGTTATAAATGAATTGAATAAAAGTCATTTGAATAATTATTTTAAACTAACAATTTCTTAACTTACTTTTTATCTTCAACAATATTTCCAACATTCATAGAAAAATTCTCTAATTCCTGTACAAAATCTGGCATAGTGTTTAGAAAAACATCCAAAGAATCTTTGGATTTGCCCAAATCCTTCATAATGGTACGAGAAATCTCTGCTGTCTCCACAAAGGTTTTACAATTTGTGAATGCCAGCTCTTGAGTCTGTTCTGTTAAATGTTTCATTTCATCAGACAATCTCTCTGGTTCATTTCTTATGTGTTCCCAATTTTGCGATCCAAGCTTTTTGATATAATCATTAATGTCATTGAAGTATTCTGGAGTTTCTGCAGGCATTGATGAATAAAATAAGTAAATTCATTGATTATCTTAGACATATTATTGACAGAAGAGATATATAGAAAAAAGAGTGTTCCAATCTTTAAAAGAGTTTGACGATGGAAACTAATTGGACAAAACGTATTTTTATTCAGGTTGGTCTTCTGTAACATCGTGGTATTTCAAACCAAACTTTGTCGGGGCCCACGAAAAGATATAAACAATTACTGCGAGCCCCACATTCCTGTACTAAATATCTGCTTGCTTTAATAACATAAATAACATACCATTTGTTGAATTTGGGAATAATAGTTGGCACAATTCTTTCAATTCTTGAGCCATTTTAGTATCTTTATCGGATTGTACTATAAATTCCCGGTGAAATTTTGCTTTAGTGTACACAAATTACGAAAATGATACGTAATTTTATTTCATAGTTAATGACATTGACGGATTTTTGACTGCTTTTGACACATTTTGTCCGTCGTTTATGATTGTCACCAAAGAATAAAAAAAACTTGTAATTGTGATAAAAATTAGCTCCGACAAAACAATGAACTATTTAGCTTAGCTAGCTTTAGCTTAAAATAAGCTTGCCTCAATTGGATCCATACAATGAGGCTTCTTCTCTATTACGCTATAAAGTAGAAAAAGATGAATTTAAAACTGTAACTCATGCCATTTGCATAATCTATAATTTACTCTTTGATAATCTGTATTGTGTAAATGAAAATTTTTATGGAACGAAGGAATATTAGTTCAAGATTACCATTTGCTTAATAACCAAATATTATTTAAACATCTGGAAATATCTCGCGAAACCAATGGGAAACATTACGTAGGCAAATTATTTTCGGCGCGGTAAGTAATTTGTGATTTCCATCAATACTTTGGTTATACCCTATGTTTTCATCCATGTTGAACTATTGATAACTTCTGTGATTGCGTCATGTAGGTGTATAATTATGAGATGTACTTAAAGTTTTATTCAGTGTTTTGTTAGCAAATCGCTTAATAATTACTGTTTAGGATTATTAAAGATTTTATCTCTGCAGTTAAACCTTTCATTTTGACACTTCTAACCTATGAAATTTCGACTCTTGACACCATTTTTGTTTAACTTTTCTGTGTATAATGCATCACAATCGGTAATATGGATTGTTAGATCCGTGCTAGAAAAGTTTTATCCTATAATAACTTACCTGTTCATAACTGAATTGTGTTTAGATAAATAAGGTTATGTTGATGTTTTGATTAGCTTGATGTTAGATGTTAAAATCCTTTGACACATTGAAATGTAGCATTTTGTGTTAACCGTTGTATATTGACCTACCCATGAGTGCGTTTCACGTTAAATATATCGAATATCGTAATATTAGATTGTACATTTCGTGTTTTGCGATAATCAGTAGTAAATATTTAATTTTTTTTTTAATGATTTTAGTTGCTGTCTGAGACAGCCGCAATGGAGACGTCAGGAGTTGATTTCAACCTCCATTGGGAGGAGGTTGTGATTAAGGTAATATCAAAATGTTCTATATGGTTTTAATTAAAAATTATGTATCTGTAAATAAAATCAATTATTGCAACTAGTGGTTACAAATAAATACAATAATGTTAGAGATTTTAGCCAGTTCATTATCCATGTTTAAAATAGGTAAAGCCCACTTATGATAGGTGTTCTTTTTATTAGTGTATACAGACATTTTAAATGTATTCATGTAGAAATTCAAACACTACCATAATATAAGCTTTCAGTTCTTTTCTTTTAGTTTTATGTATTTTAGTATAAAGGTATATAGTGCAGTCTTTATTTAAAAAAAACAGAAATAAGAAATAGCGATTGATCTAAATGACTGAAAATGTGCAGTCATGGTTTTCTGGGGTTTGATACTGATTTTAATGATTTTTTAACACTAAGAATTTCCAGAACTCCCCCAAACATGAGAGTGACACAATGTGCAACCTTGAAAATGTACAAAGCTATTCAGCAATGGTGTGTATTTTATGATTTCGTAACAAGGTGGCATGTGGTGTGGGGTAATTTAGTTGTAAAGCTTTTACTAACTAAAATTATGGATTTATTTAATTATATTGAGTATTATATACTTATATATTTGCAACAATAACCATTTTGTTTGCTAAGCTTAAATTTTTAATCAGAAAACCTGATTTTTATTTAATTTACCAATTACATACATAATTAAAGGTAAATTTTGTTCCATGTATAATAATAAGTAGTAGATAGGAAGTTGTATGACACATGTTTTTGGAATAGAAGATTCATATTAAAAAAGCCTTATAACATGCTGATCTGTTTAAATAACCTTTTTTGCATTCAATGCTACTAGAAACAATGCATAACTCTAACAGATGTGATATCAAATTTAGCACCTAATTTGCTTATTTATATTACTATAACATAATAAATGTTTTTTCCAGACATCTGAAGAGATAAAAGCAGATACAGATCAAATGGCGGCAGAGAATCTGATGTTTCTATCACAAGATGTGGTTGGTTACACAGAAGCAGTATTGCCAGATGAATTGAATGTAGAATGTGTGACAGAAGAGGTGATAACTGATGATTGGGTTCTAGCCGGTGGACAGGAGAGGTTAGTGTCATACATCTATGCTAATATTATAAAGAGGAAAGATTTGTATTTATGTAAGTATCTTTGTATGTATTAAAATAACTCGAAAACTACTGGGTTGATTTCAACAATTCTTTCATTATTTAAAATCTGTCTTATTAGTGAGTAAGTGTGTATTTTTTATTTTTTAAAACAACAGTATGCATATATAAATGTGTTAATTGAGATGGCATGGATTGTCAAGAGTAATTTTATTAAGCGGCAATAATACATTGTAAATGTGAACAATATTTTATTTTATATTTCTAGAGTGGAGGTGCCCATGGAGCAATTAGTACATAATGCTTTAGATGTGAAAGTAGAAAATGATATTGACGTCCCTTTACCAACTGATCAGGTGAGGAGGTACTTTAAATGTAGTAAAGAAAATGAGTGAAATGGTAAGATGGCTTACCATATGTTCATATATTCAAGAAAGAAAAGTATTTTAACTACTTAAACTCATTAATACTATTTATTAATAGATCCTCAAAACTGTCAGTTTTTTTTTTAATGGATTGCCAATAGGGTCATTAAATCATGTTAAAATGTTTATATTTTATCTTGTGACACTGCTTATTATAATTTTGTATATATAACATGTGAATACAAGGTAGCATTATTTGACGACTAACATAGTACCTTTCAAAGAAGTTACCGTTGAACAAAATGTTTACTATGTCTAGTCTGTATATTTCTAAAATGTCTTATATTGGTCTTTATAAAGGTAAATAGGTTAAGATATATTTGATATATAGGATCAGTACACGGCGATGCGGCCGTGGCCATGTGATTTCTGTTCGCGTCGGTTCCGTAAGAAGGCGGCGCTGATGAACCACATGGTGGCGCACCAGAGCGACCGTCCGCACGCCTGCAACCTGTGCGGCGTGCGCTACGTGCGCAAGTGCGATCTCATGAACCACCTCAAAGTGCACGCCTTTGTACCAGATAACCATGATACAATGGATTATGGTAAGTTATACATAACACAACTCATTACGACATTGAATACCCAATTTAATTATTGGAAAGGTATACTTATAGCAAATTCAAAGTACACAACCAAATTAAATATGCCATAAACAAAGAAAATAAAAAAGCAGAACATATATGACAAGCATTCACAGCACTCAGAAGAAAAAGATTTTTTTAAATAACAAAAGTTAAATCAAATACCTTTCCCTATAAATATAAATTACACAATAAACAAAAAATGAGAACTAAAACAATAAAAGAAAATTTAAATGTTACTGGTGGTAATTTAAGCCAAGATCATTTGCTTAAATATCAAACCTTAAAACTACTTCTTTGATTTACAATGCTTCTGCTTGACTCTCTCTCCGCCTTGATCTGGCATACTGTCTTAACGTTTCTGTTCTCCGATAACATTTAAAATGTTGAATGCAAATGAACTGATTTTTCTTGTCTTAACCTGAAGGTCCTACCAATATTAAAACTAAATAAGGCTACTTCTGACTCATGAGTTTGGCAGATTATAATTCACCTATCATGTATTCTGAAGTGTTTTATAATTTTTGTACATTCAAAAAGTGTAATGTTTGCTACATATTATTTAGATTTTGTTCTTAAGGTTTGAATTTGCACACACACTCGTCCTCGTTATTTTTTTTAAATAGATAAAATTGATTCTATGTAAGATTTCTTTTCCAGACGATGTTATTAATAACAGTCCATTAATAAAGCCAAAGAAAAAAAGAGGACGAAGAAAAAAAAATCCGGAACCAGAAGAGGTACTTTTCCAATATTGTTTCCTATTAACAAATGAGCATACAAAAATATCGCTTGTAGCCAAATTACCTGATTGTAAATACTTCACGTTCTCTAATCTCTTTCTAAAGAGAAAGAAAGCTTTCACTCATTCTTATGTTGTGTTCTAGGATGATATGTGGGAGAATATGACGTCTGCGCGCACGCAGCAGTGGCAGCGACGCGCGCGCACGCCCGTGCGGCGCTCCCCCTCCCCGCCCTCGGAGCCAGACCCGCCCCCCGCGCCCTCGCCGCCCTCCCCGCCCTCGCCCCTGCCGCCCGCAGACCCCTCGCGCCCCTTTGTCTGCCGGCACTGCGGCGTCGGCTTCGCGAGGGAGAAGGCGCTACAGTCACATTCTAGGGTGATTATAGCGTTTCGCGTTTCGCCCGCCATTTTGTGAACAATTTATTTTTCAATATAAAATAGCAAGCCTATGATATGTCCACATTAGTTAACTTCCAGGGGAAAACGTCGTCAAATTTAGAATAGTTTTTTAATATCAGCTTTCATATTTATTTTTTAAATAATCAAGACTAATAGCGCCAATTTAGCAACTAATAGACTTGAACAATTTCAGTTGTATTATCTTTACAATTTTTAGAGATCTAGGCAACTATGAAATGACTTTGGGTGCGGTTTACTTCGGTTGTCAGTTGAGTTGGTGAATTGAAAAGGTAGCTGCTGTAATGTCTTGCAATGTATATATGTGTTGTGCGCAGATCCACGGCGGCGACTCGCCAGTGGAGTGCGGTGAGTGCGGTGAGCTGTACTGGTCGCGCGAGGCGCTGGCCGCGCACGCCGCGCACAAGCACCCGCACGCGGCGCCGCGCGCCCGCAGGGACCCCTCCTACGAACTCTCCAACTCGGGTACGTCATCATGTACACATTTCATAATAAGTTAAAGAACGGTCGTCTACATATTTAAATATTGCTTCAGTATTTGGCCGTAAGATGGCATGTACAATTCGTATGAATTAACTTGAGACCTGCGTCGATGACGTCATTTTCAATACGATTTAGAAAATGAAATGTTCTTGGAAGAGATTTAGAATAATTAGTGATTTCTTACGGTTCGATCATTACTTTCCACATAAAATCTATTTATATTGAGCTCGTAACCAGCTGGGGAAGTGGGTTGGTTTCCAGTGGAGTCCCAATTTGTGAAGAGTAATCATAGAGTTGAAGTGAAATTTGTGTTCTCTACTGGTAAGCAGAGAACACAAATTCACAACTTCAGAGACATTCTTATGTTGTGTCTCTTCTTCAAACACACTTCAGAGAGAGAGGTATCTCTACATTGTGTTGTATTAGAATATTTAGTAATGTTGTGCAGACGAGGACTACGACTACCGCATGTCGCTGGAGGGCGAGGGCGAGGGCGAGGGCGGGGAGCGCGCGGGGTGCGGGCGCGGGCCGGAGCTGCGCTGCCAGGACTGCGGCGTCGCCTTCCAGCGCGTCGACCTGCTGCGACGACACGTCGCCGCCGCACACAAGTATGCATTTAACACATTGTCACACAGTTAAGAGGGATGTGAGGACAAGAAGGGATAAATTTAAGAATCCGTATATTAGAGGAAGTTTGAAACAAGCGCCAGTGGTCGAGAAATTGAGAAGCAAAAGCTTAGCGTGGTATGGACATGTTATGCTAAGAGAGGATGAGGACATAAACCAGAAAGTGTTAGGATTAAATGTGAATGGCTACAAAGGTAGAGGAAGACGGAAGAAAGTATGGATAGATTGTGTGAATGAGGATATGCTTAAGTAGGAAGTGAATTCAGATATGACGGCTACCAAAATGTATGGAAGAGCACATCATCCGACAAGGGCAATTTGTAGATGATTTAAGAAATGTTTAGAGTAGATATGTCTCACTATGGTGAGCATCATTTTTCACCAATAACTTCTTTGAAAGGTACTATGTTAGTTGTCAAGTACTATCACCTCATGTCTTTTTTTTTAGCTACAAGCGTCACGACAGCACGAGCAGCGCGGGGGGTGGGGGCGGTGCGGGCGGCACGTGGGGGTGGGGCGAGCACGCGTGCGACGTGTGCGGCGAGACGTTCGCAGACCCGCTGCAGCTGCTCGCGCACGCGGAGGGCCACGCGGAGCGACACCGCCCCAGCGCCAACAGGTCTCTCCTCACTCAGATGGATGGATGGATGTTTGTTAGAGTTTTCAGCTTAAACGGCTGGACGAATTTGGACGAAATTTAGTGTAACTGTAGAGGATAGTCTGGAAGAACACATAGGCTACTTACTTATGTTTTTTTAAATTCCACGCGGGCAGAGTCGCGGGCGAAAGCTAATTAGCAAATTGTGTGAAGTTTGGCAAATCGTGTGAAATTTGGCATATTGTGTGAAGTTTGGCAAGGCTACAGGAGATTTGAGATGAGAAAGAAAGACGTCGTATATTTTTTGTGACGCGAGTTGAACTAGACTATTTTCCCGAAAATGATATTGTTTATGATAACTCTAAAAACATAAATATTGAGCTACTTTTTTTTCATGAATAAAAGTGCGACATGTTCACATCGCAGAATTAATACAGAAACATGTCAAGATCTCTGTTTTTCCCCATATTTTTTAATATTTTTGTCATGTGACAATTATCACATTTTACAGATTAAAAAGAATGGGTCGCGGCAAAACTAGTGCGACAGCTTCAAATAACTCGAGGCAGTTTCCATGTAGAGAGTGCGGTAAGAAATTAATAATGTTCAAATAATTCTCTCTCTGATCATACGAAGTACAAATTTTATCTTACTACTTACTTATACTATAAATGCGAAAGTTTAGATGGATGGCTACAAATTCTAACCATGTAGCCTAAACGGCTGATCGTATAGATTTAGAGGATAATCTGGAAGAACACATAGACTTCCACTTCGGTTTTTTTTTATTTCACGCAGACGGAGTTGCGGGCAAACGCTAGTTTATAGTATTTAAGAATATTTCTTTTTAATATTGTTTAAAAATGTGTATATTTATACGTTATAGGCAAGGTGTTCGGTTCGCGCAGCTCGCAGCAGATCCACGTGCGCATCCACACGGGCGAGCGGCCCTACGCCTGCCGCTTCTGCTGGAAGGCCTTCGCCGACGGCGGCACGCTGCGCAAACACGAGCGCATACACACCGGTACACACACTAGTACTATATACTTACACATCTCACTTACATACAAATGGATTTTATTGTCTGCTTTTTATTACATAGGTGAGAAGCCGTACGGATGTGCAGTATGCCCACGCGCCTTCAACCAGCGCGTGGTGCTGCGGGAACACGTGCGCTCACACCACTCTGCACCCAACAGACGCACCAACGGTACTCATATATTGTCACCAAACTAACATGAAAATATCACTCTCATAGCAAATACAACCAAGTTCTACTTTGATAACATCTTATGCTAATATGTTAACAGGCAACAACGTGTACACATGTGTGGTGTGCGACCGCACGCTGCACTCTAGCGTGGAGTTGGTACAGCACCTCATACAGCACTGCGACGCCAACACCGCGCTCAAGCGGCAACCGCAGGCAAGTATTACATTACTTGTTGATTTGCAACCTATATATCAATGTGTTGAATGCAATATTTTAAATTAAATGTTCACAGAACGGTCCTCGGAAGTACAAACGGCGGCGGAAATTGAAAACCGAACTGCTGTCGCCGAAACGCGAGTGGGAGGAGCCGG